CCTGGGCACGGAGAAAAGCTTGTTGAGGAGCTGATGAGATCTAGGGGGTGGCCTCACCGCTTCCTCTGGGCTGCTCACGAGGAACTGCAAGGGCAAGTTGTGCTTCCAAGGGAGCGAGTAGATGCCCACCTCCGCATTTTGAACTGGGTCCTCGAGGGGACTCTCTCGACGAGTACTAACTAACTAATTATCACATCAGAACTAATTATCACATCAGAACTAATTATCACATCAGAACTAATTATCACATCAGAACTAATTATCACATCAGAACTAATTATCACATCAGAACTAATTATCACATCAGAACTAATTATCACATCAGAAATAATTATCACATCAGAGCTAATTATCACATCAGAGCTAATTATCACATCAGAACTAATTATCACATCAGAACTAATTATCACATCAGAACTAATTATCACATCAGAACTAATTATCACATCAGAACTAATTATCACATCAGAACTAATTATCACATCAGAACTAATTATAACATCAAAACTAATTATCACATCAGATAATATGTGATTTGATAAAGTCAGAGTTATAGTTGCTTTTGTCAAAAACACGTTTGAGATAGTTGTTTTTGTTTTGTAGAGCGCCCGGTGAATCACATATGATTTGTGCACGTCTTGTTAACGTTCTGATTGTGGTGGCTTTGTGTGATGTAGGGTTGTAAGATGATTGGTCTAGTAGTCGCTCAGTTTGTGTTAGCTTGCGATAAACTGTTGTTCGAAGTTTTTGATTTTTATGTTTTACCAAACAGTCGAGAAAAGGAAGAGTTCCGTTTTCTTCGACATCTTTGGTAAATTGTATGTGGCTGTTCTGTTTGTTGATGTGAGTATGAAAGTCATCAACCTCGTCTGCATGTAGTGCTGTGATTGTGTCATCTACGTAGCGAAACCAAAAAGGTAGTGCATCTTTGTAAGTCGTGAGCGCCCGTTCCTCTATTGATTGAATTACAATTTGAGCAACTACAACAGAAACGGGTGAGCCCATTGCTGTTCCATGTAATTGTTTGTAGTGTGTACCGTTGTACTGGAAGTGTGTACCTTTGTACTGGAAGTGTGTACCTTTGTACTGTGGCAAAGAAGTCATTTAGAAAACAATTTTCATTACATCATATTGCAAAACTAATGCAGTGCTCAGAATTATTTCAAGTCAAGTGTTTGCTTTACCATCGGAAGGCGTTGCCGTTGAATGAGAGAGACAACACGTTAAAGATTTTCCAAAATAACTTTTTCTAAAGCAAAAATTCTCTAAAATATCTTAAATGAGAATATGTACATATTTTATATTTAGATCAGTTTGAAAACGTTTATAAATTCTTGCTCAAAACTTTGTCAAACGCCATCCAAAGCATCCAGGTTAAAACTATTTAAAAAGCGGATTGCTCTGATACTTTATTTATAAATGATTGCCTGTAGAACAGTAGAATCTGTATTTTACGTCGTAACTCTTATATCAAGTAGTGATGGAATTACCTAATCAAAATGTTCTCGATCAATTGCAAAAGGCATCAAATTATTTAATTTTGAAAGGTTAAATACTCAAAAATATCAGGTTTATAAAGATGAAAAGAAGTTAATTTACACTATTATGATACATCCCATTTGTCTATTGTGTTGAAAAGTAGCGCCGAAGAAGGGAACGAAACTGAACGAACTTTTGGAACTGCTTTCGGAACAAAAATGGTGCACGCTAGGCATTTTCACTTCCGGTGTCCCAACTCGTTCGTACGTAGGGCTCTGGTTTGACCACTTTGCTAACGATAATGTTTGCAAGTTTCTGCGAGATCACTTGACTTTTATATTAACACAGTTTTTGACTGACTGTCACACTGACAATATGTGCTTGGAATAAATCCGTTAAATCTAAACAGCAGTCATTGTCAAACTCTTTATGAATAGCTTATAAGGTATAGTCAGTTCATAGTAAATTGTAATTGACCACAAACATCAAAAAGGTTTCGTATTTTGAAGTTGTTTTCACACAATATAAATAAAAGTTGAGCAAGATTTATCAGAGTAACAATGTATATGAGTTACGTGATTTGATTGAATAAAGGCCCGTTCACATGATCTGATTTGTTGGATCCGATTTTGTTGGATTGCTAAAAACGGATCGTGTGAACACATATAAAGTTAGCCTCCGACAGTCGGATCTGTCAATCTAAAAAATCGGATGGAAAGAGAATTTCATCCGATAAGATCAAAGGAAGTCGACCAGCCAAATTAGATAGATTTGAAAAAGACTTGAAAACGAGAACAAAAATACGAAAAGTATTGCAATAAATGTATACTGGATAACACAAATGGTTGTTCAAACTTCTATAAATAACTAAACGAATAAAATAATCAATAAAGTTATCGAACCGTCTGAACAAGCAACCAAAAGTCGGAACGGAAAGAATCAGATCCGACAAGTCGGATCGTGTGAACGGGCCTTAACACAAAAAGAATGGTCTTTAGAATCCTGCAATTAACCTTTAAAGTTTTCCTGAAAGATTAGATATGTAAAGATAATCAATAAAATCGACTGTAAGACGTTTTTATTAAACTAAAGTCATAGAAAAAAGCTTTTATGCTTATATCTAGGGGATTAATTTAACAGTCGACATCAATCAACCATCCATTGAATAAATGTAATGACTGCCCACTTACAATAATTTTGTTTTCTTCAGTCATGATAACCATGGGACAATGGAATTCTTCTGTTGACGCTGTAGACTGCCCTATCAATCTCCCTCGCAAGTCAAAAATAAACACAAGATTATAAAGCCATTGGCAAACACAAGGTCTTCTTCTGAGGCGAATGAGGAAAATTTTTCTAAGCATAAATGTGTTCGCCAATAATATCCACAGATATTTCACTTTTAGCACCAAAATTAGAATCAAACGCCACGAAGCACTATAACGATATTCAATAAATGATTAATGAGCATTTCAGATCTCACATTTTCTGCTCGGGCCTCTCTAATCAACACTGATCTTAGTTCACCCTTCATGTAAACATAAATATCTCACCAATAGCAGGTAATGAATGAAGTTCCTTCAAAAAAGTTAAACACGACATTAGGGCAGATTTGAAAGATATCCACGCATTTCAAAATCGTTGAAATAATACGAAGTTTGGCTTCAAATATCCTGTGCATGTTCAACAGATAAACAGTTTCGTTACAGAATGCACGAGTTGCATCACTGCTAGCATCTTAAAACTACTTGTTGCCATTTAAATTTGTTTACCATATTTAATTTTAAATATCTGGAAGGATTTGTCAAGTTTGTGTATTTGATCCAAATTTTCAGACCTATCTAAATTTTAGACACTTAAATTATTACACAATGGCAAATCGTCAATTTGGGTTCTTTGAGTTAATTCACTTAGTTTCACTTTTTCGTCTTCTTTTAAATAACTACAATCCTCGATACAATCCAATACATGGTTAATTCCTTCCTTCGAAAAAAAGTGACCGGTTAGAAGATCTTTTCTTGGCAGTTTTATATCATTCAACAATGTCACAACAAACTCACGAAGCTTCATATCTCTAACATCTCCATCTTTAAATTTTTCTGCTTTTTATCTCGGGCTTTTTACACAAAAAGCCAAGAGTCAAACTTAATGTAAACGATAGCATATTTGCTATGAAAAGTTAAGTATGATAAAAAAATTGCGATAAAATTTAGACCGAAATTTGTAGCGAGTCTTTGATTATTTTAGTAAATTGGTAAAAAGAATGAAGCTGACTGATTTACATTTTCCAATATAAATGACCTACCATAAATGCTCGCTTTAGCGTCGCAGCGCTTATTAAATATTGTCTTTGCTCTAAGAAAATAACGAGTATACAAAATCTATATTAATGATATAATGTTATATAACTTGATGAAAATAATTTCACATAGGCGCAGAAGAAGATTGTCATTAACTTACTCATATGCAGCTCTTAACAGAAAGCAGCGCTTAATTATTTATCTGAATTCTAAGTGCGGCGCTTGATAGAAAGACGCTTAAGAGGAATGGCGATAGAAAACGACGCTTAGACGCATGGAATTGACAACACAAAAAATTTCTTGTTTTTAAATGACAAACGAACGGCGAATTTACTTGAATATTTACCTGAATGTATGCCTGAATGAGCAAATAAAGAAATTAAAAATGCCTAATTCAAGCAGTGGACGTATTGGAGCAAAAACAAAAGAAAAACCCGGTTTTCAAACATTGATTTGTAGCTACTTCGTCTTCAATAACAAAATTTCAACAAAATTGATCAGCCATTGCTTGCTTGTTTTGTTAGCCAATCACATTTTATGACGTGATTAAGACAGCCAATAGCATTTCCTCAATCCTATAAATCACGTAAGTGTGATATTTGCAAAATCAAGACTTTTCAATGTTCCAAGTGTTGTGGGACAAAGAAAACAAACTGTTTGACCATTTTGGAAATTTTTTGATTTCATCATATAAAACAAATAGATAACATGCATTTGACCAATGTCCATACACTTATACACGGGTACGACGTCACTTATGATAAAAACTAAAAGTGACTCTTGTTGTGACGACAAATTGCTGAGAGTGTTTCATAGTAAACGGGACAGTTGATCTAACAAGTTGAGTTGAAAAATCATTCCTAAAAACCCTTTTCATCGGAACGCTGTTTGTTTATTATAATGATTAAATGAAAAAGGAGCTATTTAATATTCGTATTGTTCGATAGAATTTTTTACGCAAGTACGTGTAAGTCTAGTGTTTTTTCAATTTCTTTCTTTGAAGAAAAACGATTTCGGGACCGTTAGCAGTTTGCACCCTACGAATGCAATAACTTTTCATAAAGTTACGTAAAATTCTTTGAACAAATCATCGGGAGAGCGATGAGCATGGTCAGGAAATTGCTAAAATTCAAATAAAACATAGCGGCATTAATCGAGCGTAGTGCGACACAACACCAAAAATGGAACGAAACTCAGTCGAAATCATTGTGCAAACGGGACTAAAATAGAGAACTCATTTATTGTCAAAAATCTTCCATAAGTTCGATTATGTCAACAATGGTAAATATATTAAGTTAAATTAAGTTATAAAATCTTACAAGTTATAAAGTACTTAATTAAAATTAAAGTACATATTTACACCAAAACGCCTACAAAGTAAGAAATTATGGACACATTCATTTTAGTGTATATGTATATATAAAAATGTTTATCGATCGTATTTGCTTTCTCTAAAAAAGTTAGATGGCTGTCCGTGCAATGTTTCTTGCGGGGGGATCTTTTGTAGTTTTTTCATAGATTGTTCAGTTAAATTCTAAAGGAGCGAAGGAAACATTACTTACTATAATAGTACGTACCTATAAACTACTTTCGTCGGCAAAGCAACCGGCTATTTGGTTCAGTTAAAACGTTGTTGACATAAAACTTTAATTTCGCAAGCAATAAGAATGATAAGGAAAATCGATAAGAAGTGCATGCAAGTGGTTCCTCGAGCTAAATTAGTTTTCATTTATGTTCCCAGTTCCTTATCTAAAACTTTTGGACAAATTTTTGCAGTTCAACTTTCAACATATCTTAAGCTACTCTCTAGTCAAAAGTGAACAAAAGTGTAAAGTCTCTTTAAATTTCTTTCTTAAATGCAGTTTTTGTAATCATAAGACTACAGCAATTCAAATAAAATTTTAAATCACATATGTTCCACCAGTGACATAATTTAATAGAACAATTAACGAAATTCGAGTAGGCAGAAGTCCCCAAAAAATTTGAGCACCGACAATATGCAAAAACTTTATGAGCAGCCTTCAACAAGCAATTATAAAACAAAATAAATAAACCTTGGAAGGTATATCAACCTGTAAAGGCCGAACTGCATATACATAAAATTTTAAAAACCATAAGAGAGGTCTAATGGTGCAAAAGTGAAAGCTAACTTAGCTAATACGTATTTATGATAGTTATTTTCTTCTAATTTGATACCAAGACTTCAAAACTCAGGAGAAAATCAAAATGCTTTTGGGAGATATAGCTCTCTAGGACAATGCACTTACGATGTAATAGAATTTTTGCTTCAAGTAGAGGTTACATCCCTTCTTGGTAAATTATATTTTGTTCGAATGGATTCTCTCAATCGTTTACTATTGTTTCGTTCTTTTGCCTCATCTATGTCCTTATGCTTTCTGTTCTTCTGTGTTCGTCCACCGAAGCTTAAAGATCTATTGAAGTGTTGTGAACTATCACGCAATTTTTCTTTACACTTCGTACCTTTGGCAGTATCTAATGACTCCACACTTCCGTGAATATCATACTTATCTCGCACCCATTTGTTCCTTTGAATACTTTGCTCACGTCTATTGTTTCCGCCTGGTGTTTTTATTGATACTGCAGTAGGATCATCCATTCCGTCTGGTTGTTCATCAACTTTTCTAAGGAGAAAGCAGAGACAATATTTCACAGCGATACTTTCTCGAGGGGTTTGGGAAAAATTTAATGACATAATAAAGCACAAATACATGCAATACACCATCAACATGAATGGATGCTGTGCATGGCAAATCAGTGATGCATCTTCTTGGCATGCATCTTTGTGTTTTCTACTTCTTTATACCTTTGTTAATCTTTGCAATCCTATTTTCAAACAGACCTAACATGCAAGTGTCATATCATCAGAGAACATCTGTGAAAAGATATTTGTCAGCTTTTCGTGAAAGAATGTTCAATCAACAAATTGAAAAACAAAATTTCTCAATACATTACGCAGCACAAAAAGTACACCTGGGTTTGATGTTTTTATACAGAATTTGAAACAAACTTCAAAAAGCTTCATCTGATTCAATTTGGAAAGAAAAACATAAATATGATAACCTTAATAAAACGCAATACGCCATCAAAACGAAGGTTTGAAAGCCTGAAATTGCAAACTAAATCTGCTCTCAGGGATGCTGTACAAAGCAAATAAGTGATGCATCTTCTACTCTATGTGTTGAAACTTGCTTATAGATTTATACAATTCTCAAGGGTAAAAAAAATAAAGAGAGCGTTACTAACTATTGTGTCAAAGAAAGATACGACTGACGTCGCCTTGAAAGGTGGGAAACGGCAAAATTCAAAATACAGTAAACTTAACTGGATTTTGATTTTGAGTCTGCTCAAGAATTGGCAGAGGTCATGGAAACGACAAACTGAATTGACTTGCACTACTTAAAAAGCACAATTTAATGGACATCTGCGCAAGTACTCGAGCATGTGCACTCCACGTAACAAATTGTTCGTAGTTGCGGCAGCAACCACCAGATCTACTTGCACTATATTCGGAATAAATAGCTGGCCTAAACAAACATCATCAAAAATCATTTAAGCATGCGTAGGTAACGAATGGAATAAACACCACAATCGTCGAGCAGCCTTGAATTTATGCGTGTGTATAATGAGCAACATATGCAAACAGCATAAGTCAAAATAGCAGAGGAGACTGGGTACCATTCAGTTGCAGTGATTCCAAGTGGTCAAGACGAAGGTTGAGAAGGTACTTTACCTACGTACTTACACATTGGGCTAAAGAAATGACGGGGTAAAGCTGGCTTTTGGACATAGCTAGTCGGAGCGCGCAAGAGCCTAAAGATCTCCAGCGAAACGTAACAACTTCTGCCTTTCAGTTTATAATTTAGGCCAATCTTACGCATTTTTAGACCTTTTTAATCAATTAATTGATATGTTTTACAAAGTACGGTACCACTCGTGAATTTGGTAACATACTGTACGCGTATAGAAGGATACTCATGTGATATGACAAAAATACGAGTATGATACAAAAACAATACGCGCATATTACATCCACACGTATACGGATATTTTTGTATCCGCAACAAAAAAGTTGCGGATAAGCCTTTCGTCCACACACATCCGAATATTTGAGCGGGTTATCCGGAAACTTTTGAATCCGCTCTCTAGAGTGAAAATTTTCGTATCCGCAAACAATTTGGACGCGTGTGGACGGTAAATTCGGATATTTTTGACCAAGATTGCCTAGCAACTATTATAGCGCGTTTAATATGTCGTCGAATTTGCTTCAGATCGATTCCAATCGACTTTCTACATAGCGTTGGATGTTTTGAGTTCTAGTATGACTTTCAGTAAGAGTTAAACCTCACCATCAGTCCAAATGAAGGAGTCCGTATTGCTATTTTAAATTTTTTTCGATTTCTGTTTCAATTATGACATATATATTCAAACAAAACCAAACAACCTTTGCACAAACCAACCGAATTCAAAATTGCTAACCAATTTACCGCCAAATTTGCAACCATTTCAAAATATGCGAGGGAAACGGACAGCGCAAAGTCTTGGGAACTATAACAAATCCAGATAATATAGAGCTACGTGTGGACGCAAAAACATTTTTATACGCAACCTGATCAGAAACAAAAAAGTCGCGGATACGAAAACATCCGTATACGTGTCGACGGGGCCTAACATATATGGGTGAAAAGAATAAGATGTGAAAAGGATACGCTTATTAGTTATACAAAAATTATATACGCGTAGATGACAAAAATGCGTATGGACGCGTGGGATAGGCTTCTATGAATACAACTCGCCTCTTTAGATTGTGTATCTTGCCAGGAAAACAAATCCCGCATCAACACAAGAAATGGCCCTTTTTGTTTCTCAAAACACGCCAAAAACTTTTTTATGAAGGCCCTCATTTCAGTCACAACCTATGTCAAATCACATACATGTATTGGCCGGTGAATATAACAATTAATGTCAAGCCGACTCGTTGAATGCCATGGCTTCCTAACATGATTTTAATTCTTTGAACGCCAAGTATAGAAACTAAGGTTTAGATATGTTAATAAACTACAAAGAACATTTTCAACTTCTGTCTGACATAGAAACTCCATGATTAAGAGATCGTAAAGCACTGGAACTTTGGATGTTGATCTATTTGTCTTTGATGATAAACGTCGTAGCTATACGCGTGTATTGAAAGAACGAATAGAATAGGTTGTAAGTTTTGCGTTTAACATTTTTACTGCTTTAAATGACTCAAAATCATATCACGCTTCGCCGAATCCCGGTTACCCGGGCTCATGTGAACAGCCCCTAACCTGGAAGATCTACATCTAACATGTAACGATACTCGTAACCAAAGCTCCTCTGCTTGCTGCATTTCATTCTCAGTGGCCTCTTTTTGTTTCTCTTTTTCGAATAGCTTGGTCAAATCACTATCCTTAAATAATTCTATAATTTCACGCAAGCCTTTTTCCATGTCAGTTTCTTCCTCTGGTGCAATCCCCGATGCTCGATCCAATTCATTTGTTGTTTTTTTTACATATATTTTTTCTCCAGCAATTTAAATGTAACTCTAACAGATCTGTCATCAACTTTGAACGAAGAATCAGCAATTTGATTCAAACTTTCTGCTATATTTTTCCAACAATTCCCTCGTTCAGATGAACCTTTCTTGAAATTCCATGGATCAAACATAATTATCTCACCACTAAACAAGTCATCGTGCAAGGAACTCCAATCGTGCATGGGTTTACTAAACAAATTCTAATTATACTAAACTAATCATACTCATCAGAAAATTATTTTGAAAGATAAGCCTTTGACATATTAGAATTTATATCAACAAATGGTTTTCAGTAAAAATTTCAATAAATATATTTCTAAAGTCATGTGAAATCATATTTATAGCAACTTAGCAATGTAAGCACGTGAGCATGTAATATATGCAAGAGCGTTCGACAAATGGGTGTGAATTTCGCTACGTTTCTGGCCTTTTTCCATGAAATATAGATATTAAAAGTCTACCCAAGTACAATAGTTTAGAACGCCTCCCAATTTTCTTGTTACGTAAGTGTACCTCTGATTCAGTAATGGTTATGTATTCGGTCGTTTGACTGAAGAGTGACTTCCACGCACTTTTTTGCAATATCAAACATTTTGCAAAGTTTGATGTTTTTTATATATTGAACTCTAGTTAATTTACTTCATTTTTTGTCAATCTACTTGCCATATGTTTTGTGGCTACCCACTTGTAGGTATGCCCACCTATTTTTTGTGCACGTTTTCAAAAACAGTTCTTGGTTCGATTAATTTTAAAAATTGAAATTACCTGTGAAGAGATTCTTCAGATAATGGAGAGGATTCACAATGTTTTCCTTTCTTCTTTTTCTTTTCAATACGCCTTTTCATTTTCTCATTTGGTTGCTTGCCAATATATTTATCATGGTAAAAGTAGCCTTCTTGCCTAAAACAAAGCATTCAAAAAAGTAAATAGCCCATTTTTAGTCATGGGAAGCTTCATAATTAGGGGCCCCTTTTTCATACATGCATGTTATATACTCATATATAAGCACACTAATCGTAGAAAACAATGGATTTCAAAGGAACTTAATGTGGCAGATCATGTATGTATATCCTCCCCAATAAACGATGCATCTTTTCATCTCCCTGGGTTTATTTCCCATCCAACATAACAGGAAATAGTAAAGAGATATAAACAGATAAATCTGATTGGCTATGTTAATATTTTGGTGATCAATCAAGCAAAATTTCTAAGGAAGTAAATTATATAATGTTGTAAAATTCTTGAAGCACAACTAAACAATTTTTATTTATCATATTTAGTGCTGTCAGTACCCAAGCCAACCTGCAAGTTTTAACACAATATGCAAACAATGGATTCTAAAGGAGCATACGGCATATCATATTTAAATGAATATTAGCCAATAGCCATCCACCCCTGTCTAATTATCAATCTTCTACAGTTTCTTTGCCTGGCTATATAAATGTGCAATATAAATATTGTTATGAACATATATGGTACCTTTCCTTGCCTGTCTAGCCAAACACACCTATTTAAAAAGCACAGTCCCTCAATTGGAGTATTATGTCAGATTTAAGGAAGCCTTATAGGATATCGAAAAGTTTCTAGCTCCTAATTGAAATTCGGGAATTTTATGCCCAAAAAGAATTTAAATACGTAATTACATGATTGGTGTTTCATGGTATTCTCACCCAAAAACTATTTTACCTAGATTTCCAATTCTGACTTTTAAATAACATATAATACTTTCAAGATATAGCTTATCACATCATAGGCAACATGTTTAAGCTTATTGATGTATAAATTGTTATTCTGACATTTCACTTGCAATTCATTTTGAATTTAAATGCAATTCATAGCAATGTGAAGCCATAATGTTAAAAAAACAGCATCATTCCACTTCTTAAATATGAACAGGCACAGATGCAAACTGGCCAAAATTAAACAAGAAAATGAACGATTTGATAACAATTATGGTAAAATGTTGTTGAACTACTAGCATATAATAAAATATGCACATTATTTAGAGCAATCACATACTGATATACATATAGCAAATGCATATTTCATACTTTTTTCATGCCTGACTTTAAGAAACTTTGTCAAAGTGATTTAATCATTTCTGTGCATTCGCATCCCTAAGAACTTTACGGTAATACAAGCGAGTTGTCTGGTAAACGTCTTTGTAATTTCCGCATATTTCGCAGTCCCTGTCTCCCTAGGGGAGACAATTCCAGCAAAAATGTCAATTTCATAAAGCAAATTGAGACTATATTTTCACGAACATTGAATGAAATTAACTACTTAGTAACATAAGAAAAATGAAACAAATTCTGCTTATGAAACACCAATTAAAAATATAATTACACACTCATAGCTATTATGATTTAACGAAGGAGCATTTAGCAATGGCTACTTTATACGAATTTATGTCCATGAAGTGAATAAAATGCTATAAATAGTAAAAATGGGAAATAGAAATCAGAAATAAAGTAAAGGTAATTCTTGTAATCTAATTTAATAAAAACTCGACGACGTGCGTACCTTTCGCCATTCGAGTAAGTATAAACACCTTTGCCATATTTTTTTGATTTTCTCCACTCGCCATCATAAACATCGCCGTTTTTATAAAGGTATATTCCTTTGCCGTGTCGCTTGCCATGTTTTCTATTGCCTGTATATTGCTTTACTGTCACTAAATCGCCTTCAACGCTGCGGTCATCTTTGCTTTCGTTGGTTCCCATATTTACTTTTGTCTAAACAATGGCAGTTACGGGTCAATAATGAATCAAGAGATACAGTACCGTAATTGCTCCTTTTAGCGCCGCACAACTTATAAATATCAATATTCCTGATTATAAATGCGGCGTAACAAGATCGGTTCTTATAAACGCGAGAGGCAAATATTTAACTCAATATTCACACCAAATATTTTTATTTCAAAAAAAATAACGAGCCAACTGTTTGCATGATATTCATTCATCAACGGACAAAATGCTAGTTGGGTGAATAAAACAAGAACAAAAAGTAATTAAAACACTGGGGCCGGTTGTATAAAGCTCTTAACTACTTTTTAACTACACTTTTTGCAGTTAAAAAGTAGTTAAATTTAACCACGCGTTAAGTCGGTTGTATAAATTAGTAGTTAGCGCTAACTGCAGTTAAAAGGTAGTTAAAGTTAAATATGCTGTGGAGCATAGTTAACTTCTCAAAACACAGTTAAATATGGCCGTTTACCTTCTCAAAGACAATTATGGGCGAGATGTTCTGATCAACAATGTACTACATTCGTCACGTATTTAATCACATATTTATCTTCCATGGCAAAGGCTTTTACAATAAGAGCTTTATGGACAATGTAGTACATTCATCAGTGCTGTAAAACATCCCAAGTTTTGCTGACGAACAACAGCCTTTGTTCAAATCTGACGTAACAAATCCTTTTTTACACAAGAGCAATTGCATTTTGTATTATCTTTCTTGCGTCCGGTAGCTCTTTGCAACTCATAAGCGAGACTTTCAACTGAGATAGAGCCACTTTTTTAAGATTAGTGCACATAACTCGCTGACATTGTCTTACAAATACGTACAATTCGTTCAGTGACAAAAAAAAGAAAGAATGTTATTCGAGCAATGAATCCTGTAGCCTTGGATGTATCAAATATTCAAATTGCGGGTTTTTCCCTATGCATTTTGCTTGATTTAATATCATATGCATCATTTAAACTCTTTGCTCTATGGAAAATACGCTAGATTATGTTAAAACAAAGAGGTACTACAGTATAATTGTTGTTCTAAGTATAACAATGATAATACATATAGATACATGACCTTTACAACAGTTTTTATTCATGACTACTCTTTTGTATATCAGCTGCATGAGATACAATGATTTTAGTTTCTTAAATACATAAAACATTTCATCAGCATGCATGGTGAAGGTCCATGTTGCTTGATATATGTACATTATCCATTGCACATGATTTATAACAAAAGAAGAAAATATACATGACAGTCAATTAGTGGGTTTTATTGATATTTCATCAAGTATTTCCTATGTAAAAATTTTTGTTTTCAATGTACATACAATCTTGCCTGCCAGCTACTGTTTGATGATTTAAAAAGTAGAAAAAAATGAATAAAACACCCGAGCTTTAGACAAAGATAGGCTAATAAATCACAAAGGCATAAATAAAAGCTTCAAAGCTAAGGCTCATGAACAAATATACCCAATAGTTTTTATAACTCAGTTTTTTGCAAGGCAGAATTAACAACAAAAAAGGGTTTTGTGTATAGTTGTGAATATAAAATGTCACAAGCAGAGAAAAGACAGTTGCTGGATTACATGGCTACTAACTATGATAACTCAAAGAAATGTTTTCTAATAATAAAAAAAGTCCATCACTGTTATCTTTTAGAAATATGTGTGACTTATGTCTTTACAAACATATTTCTTTCAAGCATTTTACTCAGCTGTTATAAAGAGAAACGAAACGACCTTTTCCTTTGTTACCCTTAATCTCTCAGTTTTAAATTCTGTAGAAGCAAGGCCCTTCAATTATTTAAATCCTTGCACATAATCTGAATCAATTTGAGAAGAACACAATCTGAATCAATTTGAGAAGAGTTCATGGTTTCGTTTGCCCAAGTCCATTATATATAATTGGTACGTGAATGAAAGCAGTCCTTGCCGAGACGCATATCATTCATCAATATCGTACTGTTATACACAGAAGATAAGGGTCGATTTTCTTGAGAAAAGTCCAAAGCATATGCTACAATTTAATTCTGTTACCATGTCACCGTGAATTGTTTATTAAATTTTATTTTCGCATCATCAACATCCGTAAAAACGACAATAGTTTGTCATATTTTACGATTTTTACATAAGCCAAGAGATTTTTCTTCATTTTAAAGTCATTTTATTGTTCACTTGCCCGCCATTACGAGGCATAAATTCATTAAACTTTATGTCATTTAACGTAAACAACAATCCACGCAATTTCCACGCAAGTTAACTTTGCAGTTACTTGACTATCCGACAAACTACGTTTTGTGCAACGTAGTTAAGTCGAGCAGTTAAGGCCGATCTCCACTTCGACCGTACCCTAGCGTAACGTAGCAAAACGCGACGTAGCGTATCGTATTCATATACGTGTTACATTCTCCACTTTGGCGGTTTTAACGAACCGTACAGAAACGAAGCATGGCGCGAATTTTGATTATAATCATAACATGGCGGTCGTCAGTAAAGACACACTTCTTCTTTTCTTGTTAAAAAGAAGGATGACTAAAGGAAACAAAAATAAAAAGTCAGTATGGGTACGAAAAATATTTCAAGAACGCCAAACTAAAGGAAAATTCTATTTATTAGTCCAAGATTTACGTTTATTTGATGAAGAATTTTTTTTCAAATATTTTCGTATGACTCCTGTTCAATATGAACAACTTTTGACTATGATTGCTCCGGAGATACAGAAGTCTTGCATAACTTGGGAATGTATAGGGCCTAGTGAGCGACTTTGTGTAACACTCAGGTATCTAACTATAGGAGATTCTCAAACAACCATAGGAATGAACTTTCGAATGAGCCCAACCACTGTTGGACGAATCATCTTTTCAACATGTGAAGCACTGTGGAAAGTACTGTCATTGGTATTCATGAAATGTCCAAGCAATGAGGCAGAGTGGAAGTGCATAGCACAGGGGTTTGAAATTAAATGGAATTTTCCACACTGCATTGGTGCGCTTGATGGAAAACACGTCGTGATGCAGGCACCAGCTAACTCTGGATCGATGTTCTTTAATTATAAGAAAACCCATTCTATTATATTAATGGCTATTTGCAATGCAAACTACCAGTTCACATTGGTTGATATTGGTGACTCAGGACGGAATAGTGACGGTGGTGTATTTTCTTACAGTACAATGGGTGAATCAATTAAGAAAAACAGTTTAGGCATCCCTAGGCCCGAGAAATTCCCTTCAACTCAAAAATGCTATCCATTTGTCATAGTGGCAGATGAGGCGTTTGAGTTACAGCAAAATATCATGAAACCGTACCCTAGAGAAGCTCTGGGAATATTTGAGCGGGTATTCAATTATCGGTTGTCTCGAGCGAAGAGGGTAATTGAAAATGCGTTTGGAATTGTAGCAGCGCGATTTCGGGTATTTCGTCGACCAATTCACGCCAGAGTTGAAATGGTTATTCAAGTTACAAAAGCAGTAATCGCTTTGCACAATTATCTCATGGCTGGAAGGTCTTTTTCGCACAGCACAAAATACTGTCCAGCTGGTTTCGTGGACAACGACACAGAAAACGGAAGAGAGCTTGGAGAATGGAGAAAAGTGACACAATCCGATGAGGGTTTAAGAGATGTCAGCAACGCTGGGTCAAACAACTACTCTCGTGATGCAAAGCTTGTTAGAGAAGATTTTAAAAACTACTTCATGTCCCCAAAAGGACAAGTACGCTGGCAGTGGAACGCAGTACATGCTACAGTAGATTGTTTTCAAAACAACGATTAACTAAATCAAAGAATCATTTATTAGTTTTGTCACTGTTTTTATAACATAACGTGGTAGTTAACGCATGCAAACGTAAAGTTATTTGTAACAATAATTTTCTTGAAAAAGTTTATGGAAAAAACATTCTGTTGCATTTCGTCATCATCTTCAAACTCAGCAAGAACTTGCAATACTTTGATCTTAGCCAATTTGTTTTTCTTTCCAGTCAAATTCCTAAAGGTAGTAACCAAACTGGAACAGAAAAGAATGTCCTGGTCTTCTGGGTTAGTTGTCTTTTTTGAATCACCATTTTTAGCATTTGCTATATCATTGGCAAGGCTTAAGGCCAAAAGATCGTCAATCTGATCTGATCGAGTCCTTTTCCGAGTCTTTTGAAGAGGTTTTGAGTCTGAAATTTCTAGTTTTGCATGGGAATTGTCCACAGTGATTGGTGAAAATGATGTAAATGGTCTATCCTCATCGGTGGAGAGCACATCAGGATTCTCGGCAATTTCAATTGGGATGTTGGTTTCAGTTTTTCGTCCAGTCATCACATCACGCAAAAAGGACAACTCAACGAAATATTCACAAGTTGGCAATTTCTTACTTGCCCCACTCCCGATCGTGTTGCCAACTCTCGCTTTTTAATGCATCTTCTATAATTATCCTTCAGCCTGTCAAACTCTTTACAAACTACATTCTCTAGATTAAGAAAAATAAAAACCTGTATATCAAACTTTGTTCAGTGCATTTGTTTAAGATGTTATGCCCTTCATAAACATAGTTGTTTAGTAGCCAATTGCTGAGCCATAGCTAAAACAATAAATTGGGGGGCGGGGGAGGTGTGTTTATTCTTATATTCAGTAGCATCAGACTGATTTCTTTTGAAAATGATTTGGCTTTCTAAAGAAATCAGTCTAGCTCAAATAAATATATGAAAAAACAAACCTCCCCTCTCCCAATTTAGTTCTCTAGCTATGGCCCATGCCAATTGACTTAGTTTTAGCCCCAATAAGAAGGAATGCACCAGTATTTTTTACAGTCTAACACCAGACAAGACCTTCTTAGGATGGGAATGGTTTGCATCATAGACAAAATGTAAGAAGAGTATCATAAGGAAAATGCAATATAAGGATGGTTACAGGTACAATGCAGAAAAAAATAGTGAGCTACAAACGATATAGTGAGGTACACTAAATTTAATCTGGAATGTTGCAAAATGGACATATTTATTCTTATCCATGAATAT